ATCATCATCATCATCATCATCATCATCATCATCATCATCATCATCATCATCATCATCATCCTAGATGGAGAATTCTAGGAGTTTTATCGTGTCTGGAGGGCACCAAATTTGGGAAAGGCTAGATTTGCATACACCTGATATTCCCATGGATAAATGAGGGTCAAACAACCTGGACCAAGCCTTTCACAAATGGAACGTGACACCCTTCTCATAATCCTTTTCACTGTGCAAGGGTTCCTTGACAGCCAACCCAGTAATCCTCATTAGGCATATTTAATTTGGGAAAGAGATGTTTGGAAGCTTTGAAAATCCCTGCCTTGAGCGGCTGCGCCATCTGGCCACCATTAATGGAATTCCTTTTCCATCATTGGCCCCTTTCTGACCACAGATGCCAACTCCTGGAAATGAAAGAAAACAAGCCCTGATTCTCAGAAATGGCCAGCAAAAAAAAAAAAACATTCCCATCCAAAAGCCTGCAGGCTTCTGATAGGGAAGAATTTACAACATAAACAAACTTTTTTTGAAAAAAAAGAGCCTCGGTATATTTTATATGTGGGGAAGGCTGCCAAGAAAACTAGAAACTCTGTCCCCCACTTTCTTCATTCCAGCAGGAGTACAGTAAAGCAAACATAACAGATGGGGTTTGATTGAATAAGCCTTGCTTTTCATAAGTAGATAAGGCAAGGAGAGGAAATGCAAGAGATCCAACTAAAATAGAAGGCCAGGAAAAAGGCCTACATCTTTGAAAGATAAACTTTGCATGCAACTGAATATCAAACACATGGACATTAAATATCCATACTCCTGCACATAGACAGGTAAAAGTCATTCTCAATATGTATATATATATGGTAGCTTTCTATCCACAGGGAAGATTTTTTTTTTCCTGTACTCTTTTAAAAACAGAGTATGCCATGAGATTTGTGAGCCAGTTTGGTGTAGTGGTTAAAGCACCAGGCTAGGAACCAGGAGGCTGTGAGTTTTAGTTCCACCTGAGGCACGAAGCCAGCTGGGTGACCTTAGGACTCTCTCAGCCCTAGGAAGGAGGCAATGGGAAACCACTTCTGAAATCCTTGTTAAGAAAACTGCAGGGACTTGTCCAGGCAGTCATCAGGAGTCAACACTGACTCAAAGGCACACCTACCACTATAGTACAGTGGTATCTCTAGTTACGAACTTAATCCGTTCCGTGACTCTGGTTGCAACTCGAGTT